AGGCGGGCCCCGGGCCGGGCTCCTGCCTCTTGGGTGCTCCCGTCTCAGCCCGCTGAGCTGGGGCAGCTCCGCCGGTGGGAAGCTGCCTGGAGTGAGGAGCCTGTGGGTATAACAAGGGGAAGCATTTATTTATCGTGAGGACATCTGGGATTGAGAGTGCCGTGCCTGGCGTCGTTTTGACTGTCAGGGCTGCGAGGAGGGCGTCTCACCTTTTCCAAGGGGGCTGCTTTCAGAGCCGGGGCTTTCGACCTAGTGCGTGTTTGTGATGTGGTTCAAATGGTGAATAAAGGACGTAAAGTGTGTTACAGTATGCATGGTTGTTGACGTGCTGAAGCCTACATCTTTGATGCAATTTGTGTTCCGGACCTTAAGGGTTTTTAATATAGACGCTGTTGCTACGTTGTAATAAAAAGCCTTCCCAAACACTCAAAATAGTTTTGCAGCTCGGAGCTTCAGAAAAATCAAATCAGAGCCTATGTTAGACAAATGCACGGGAGCAGAGCATGCCCTCATGTTGATCTTGAATGCCTCTAGAGTCTTCAAAGCTGCCAACATCTCACCACAGTAATTTGTAGTTTATTCAGAGCTTGAAAGTAGGAGTTGGACTGACTCTAGCATAGATCAGGTAACCAGAGTGATGGTGGTAGGAATAATCACATGGTTCTGCATTTGTCCCGTTGTTCACTGGAAGCATCATTTGCAGCTGTACCTGAGTAGTAGGTGTTTTGTCTTCCACTGAGCTCTTTCTATAACCTGTAAAAGCAGGGATGTGTATGTGCAGGGGTGAAGATTATGGTGCAGGGAAGCAATGCTTTTGTGGCATGGTTTAAGGATGAGAGTGTGCTGAGAACGGCCCCTCTGTAGGTTAAATGTTTGACAGCTTTCCTCAGCAGTCTAGGCTTGGTGAATCAAAGGAGTAGGAGCATTTCTAATGTGGTTCCTTGGAAAACAGAATAAGGGTAGAAAGGAAGAAGGAGAATTGCTTGGAATAGAAGTAATGGTAAAAATGTGACGATATTCGCAGGGCTAAGCTGGGTTGAAGGACTACCTAGAGACAGATGGGAGAGAGACATTCTGGAGAAGATTGTAGAAAGCATCAAGAACTTTGTACAAATGTGCTTTGTTGATGTTGCTTGTCTTCTTCAGAGAGAGGTTTGTAACATTTCATTACTAATGGAAGGTTTCTTTATTGGTAAGTAGCCTAGGCCTTCAGTTTCTGCAGTGTTTATGTTCACATTTGAGTTACTAGCTTTTAATCCATGTGCTGTGGAGATAATCTTTCCAGTTGTGAAACTAACACGAACCAATCTACTACTGACTTCCCAAGACTGCAGAAGTTGGTGTGACTATGTCTTCTCATACCTACGGTTCATTAACCCCAGAGCAATGCTTTTAAGAGTAAATTATGTGTCATGGACTACAAAGAGAGTAATGCAGCTTCAGAAATACTTTATACTACTGCTTCTGTCATCTGAACAAGCTACGAACAGCAAATTATGAGATTATTTGAGAGCCAGTTAGTTCTTTGTGCTGGTGTGTGTTATGCTTTGGAAGTGCTTGCTTTCAAGGAGAACATCTCTACTTAGTTTCACAGATCTTGAGCTTAATGCTTGCTCTGTGTCTGTCCAAAGCTTTAAGTGCATTCTATGGTATATAGGGACAATGAAAAGGAGTTGGACATCGGAATAAATATTATCACTCATAACTGTGGTGTTGCCTAAGATTTTCCTTTTAAAATCTATTACTGCAAACGTGTCTCTTCTTTGGAAGAAGGAGCTGCTCTCTAGTGGTATTTGGTTTATCAGGTGAATGCTGCACAACATAGTTAAGGTGTTTTTGAATTACTACCCAGGTCAAATAAAACAGACATGGATGTGACTCTGAAAGTAATTTGTCTTAGGTTGTTTATACCAAGAAAGTAATGGTAGTGGTGTTTACTGCTTATTGCTTGTTATCCTCAAAATCCTTTTGTAGCATCCAGTTGCATTAAAATTGTGTGCGTCTATGTACATTTTTAGGGAACATAAGCAGACCCTGTTCCTTAGTCAGTGGGGATAATAAGTTTACTGGGATGCTCTCAAATATCACAGAGGGTGCATATGTGCTGACCTGGATTGGTGAAACTAATTATGACATTTTAAAATAAACGTGTGTTTTTTTCACACCAGGAACTCTTGTCATTGGCCAAACGGAAACGCAGTGACTCTGAAGAAAAGGAGCCACCTCTGAGCAAACCTACAGCATCTTCAGACTCTGAGACGTCAGACAGTGATGATGAGGTGAGTTTGTAGTTTTATCAGTTAACTTACTATGCGTTGTCTGATTGTACCTAAGCAGTGAAAGTCTATTTATCATACATTAGGTGTAGCCTGCTGATTTCATAAAGTGGGACTGGTCATCAGTGGAACTGGTGGACACCCATTAGGCCTAGAGGATGTGTACTCAGACATACTTTTTTTCTTTTCCTTTGTAATTAGTATGCTTTGAATTGTAACTGTGTACAAAAGTCTGAATGCCTATAGAAAATATTACTGCCTGTTTAAACCCATGTTCATACGGTCTGAATGGTCTGGTGATCTTCCTGCTTAAAGCTAGTGTTTTTCCTGTGTGATGCTTGTTGTTGAAGTAGAACTGAAGCTGGTTTATAAAGCTGGACTCTTGAATTCGAGGGAGAGACTTTCAGCTTTAGAAGATTTTCCTTCCTCAGAGAGAAAAAGAGTCAAGGCAGGTGCAATTAAGAGGTGGTGAAACTGTTGTATTTAGTTGCTTTGATTCTCTGTAGCTTGTCTGGAGATTTGAACATGCAACAGTATGTATTTTTTATTGGTATTTTTTCAGAAAGTGTGACAAGGAAGAGTTTTAAGGTTTTGACAATTCCTCGTATAGCAGTGCTTACCTGTTAGAACTGTTTTTATTATTTGCTCCTGGTACTGCATTCTAGAGCTCGTTAGAATTGTCTGCTTCCAGCTATATATGAACATTGAAATAGACTGGCAAACAGGTCATATGGGTACTTGAATGAAGCCACTTTCTTGAAGGCTTACAGATGTTATTTGCAAGCTTTCTGCACAGTGCAGGGAGATAGTGTATTTCATCTGTTCTTAAAAATATAACAGGGAGCTGTTGGGGGTGGTTTGGTTTCTTTTTCCTGAAGCTACAGGAAGTATTACTAATTGTAACAACTTGAAGATTAATAGAGTAGGCCACTGATAAACTGCTAAATACTAACCGTTTGATAGCATAGCAGAGTTTTTCCAATAAGTATGAAGAATGTGTGATTTAGTTCTCTTTCTGAGGCATTTTGGTAATAAATATGCTTGGAACTGTGTTTCAATCAATGCTTTTCTTAAAACAAACAAACAAAAAAACCCCAAACCAAACCAAAAAACCCCCTCTCATATCTAGTGTATGCTTAAGACATAAGGAGAGAGAAAACTGTGAATGGCCTAGATACTAGGTTTGTTATTGGGTAACCACTCAGTCAGTCACTGTGTATGTTCAGATCTGCTTGCACACACTTTATTTATTCTAAGCTGTTTGGAGACCAGCTTGTCTGGAACGTCGATGTGGAGAGCACGTCAATGTTAAAGCCTTCTGTGTTTATCTCTGTAAACTGACAGAATAAATAATAATATTTTAAATTATTTTTTTTAGCTTGTGTCAAGTACAAGTAGGGTCTACCCTTCCATTGTATGTAGAATGTGACAATGTATCTCTTCACGAATTTACACAGACCTTGCAGATGCAGTAGTATCTCTGTTGCACCGTGTGCATTTGATACTCTTTCTAATCTGTGTATCATTTCTAATTGACTCTCTGTTCTTTCTGACCTCCATGCAGCAAGAGGAAAAGATTTAGAGAAGAGGTAATTAGGACACTTGCTTCTATTCCTGTGCCTGAAATATGCATTCTGAATGGCTGCTTGTCACAGCAGGGTGAGACAGGCTGGGGTTTTACAGTTCTGCTTCTGCCAGTCACTCAGTTGTGTGTGTCCCTGCTGAACAACTTTGGTTCTAATCAGTGTTCTTGTGGTTGGTTTGAAGTTTGCTCAGCCTTGGGGAATGGGAGAGGGGGTCTAAAAGTTGAAATTGTCTTACTGGACTTCCTTCAAGATGAGGAACTTGAGGCAAAAACATGGGAATTTTTGCTGTAGGCAAATGTGCTTAATCATAACGCATTTGCTTCCACGCAGGTTTGGTAGCGTGTGCATCCTTTGTGGTTCCTGGCAAGCACTAAACATTCCAGGATTGTCACTATGTTGCATGTACCAGAAAGGAGACTAAATCTCTGCTTCAGAGGCTAATGCTGCGTTAAGCATTTTTCACAGGAAGGAAAGTTTGTGAGGCATGGGGGAGAGAAAGTGTATTTTGGAATTATAGAATAACAGCATGGAGAAATTGTGCTACATCTATACAATGGTGCCCAAAGGATTTCAGTTGAACTTCATGTCATATTTTGTGTTTCTTGTTGAGAATACACTTCAGTGAAAACTCTTAGCCACATCAGTGGCTAAGTGACAGTGCAGATGCTGGGTTCTGTAACACTTTGAGGACCTCTGTGGTCTGAACCAAATTATCCAGCCAGAGGACTGAAGGTGAGTTGGAGGCAATGAAATAGAAGGGATGCTCTGAATTGTCTTCTGATGACTCTGTGGTATATGCATAACTAAATTAACCATAAACTCTTATTCAGAGAACTGATAAATAGCAGTGACTGCAGGGCTTTTCAGTACCTGCTACCTTCACAGAGAAATCTACTAAATTGTGTGCAGATGTGGAGGTAGTCAGTTCCTTTATCTGTGGAACAACGTGTGGCCATGAATACTCAAGAGCTCACCATCCCAAACTGTTGTCAGCCTGCTGCATGTAACCAGCGTGGTATTAGCCAAGTTACTATTTGTGCTACAGTGCTAGGGGTATATATGTCCACAAGGTACCCTCGTTGCATATTGAAGACATTGTGTGGACAATGTTCCTTAATTGCAGTAGGTTTATTCTGGGTTCTTGATCTTTTATTCGGTCATAATTGTTTACACGTTTTCTGTTGTGTGTTGAAACTTGGATGACTTCTGCAACAACTTCACTAACATCAATCAGTGTGTTTTAGACAAAAAGCTGCAATGCTTAGGAGCTCCTTTTTATTTCTTCTGAAAGGTTTGCTGTTAGCAACGTTGGTGTAAATCTGTGCCTCCTGCACTCATTCTGATGTTGTGAGAGGTTTGGCTGTGCATTTTAACAGCTGTGAGGTGATAGCAGAAGATATTTCCAAGACATAATAAAAGTTACATTGTGAATGCCTGGTATTAGTCTGGAGTTTAGTGAGGAATATCTGTCCATGCCTTTATTGGCAGATGTTCAGATTCAGTAGGAAGCAGCATAGCTGAAGATCTTGTCAGGACCTATGGGGCAGAGGAGGTGAGCAGCGGTCATGCAACCAGTGAGGAAATCTGTCTCAAAAGTTGGCCTGGAAGGCTTTATGCCCTATCATGAGGAATGGGCTTGAAAGTTTGGGTCTGGTTACTGCACTGCAAGTTAGAGCACTCTAGTAAACCAGAGATTAGCAGAACACTGCATGTGTTCCTTCCATTTTGAAGGTGTCTTTTGTGCATTTGTAGAGATTACAATGCTAAATGTCTTCCTTACCTGTGTACTTTTATTTCATAGTTCTGGTTAATTAGACCTTCAAGAATGAGTGGGTTCTCTGGTTCTGCAAGGTCTTTGCCATACATTTTGTCAAGCTTAGGAAATTGGAATTTTTACAGAATTAACTTTTCCTGTGTATCCAGGGAGAAGTTTTTGCTGAAAAGAATCAGGCACTGTCTAATATCTAGATAATTCATTAAGCATTTGTTAGTCCAGGTGATGCTGGCTGGTGAAGATAGAGCCATGCCAGGCACTTGTTGACCAAGTGCTTTGTAGCTGTTGCAAGCTCGAGCTGCTAGGCCCAGGCTTCTGCACTAAAACATTGCAGGCTTTCAAAGCCAGTACCATCCCCAAGCTTGTTTTGATCGTGGAGCATGTTTTTTCCTTGGCATTTAAGATCCATCATCTTGATGTTGTTATTCAGCAGTTCTTGACATTTTTTTAGCACACAGGCCCCTCAAAGTACTTCTAGATCAACTTTTAATTCACAGCTTTAACTGAATTTGAGCCTATTATTAATAGACTTTTTTCTTTCTTTCTTTTTTTTTTTTTTTCCATAGTTACCTTTCTCTGAGCTCCTTTGAAGGTACTTCAATAATTAGGGCAGATAAGGTGTCTGGTGATATTCTTTTAGCCTGTTCTTGGCAAAGCCTTTTCTGTGGCTTCAGAAGGCATTTCCTTTATTTGCTTATCTCAATTCAATTTTGATGTTGACACCCTGAGTCACCTCTTTGTGTTAAAAATGGTCCTTTAAGTTTTCTAATTGCTGGGCTGTTGTCATCCTGATGGTATATGAAGCATCAGAATGTCAGCTGCCCTAAAGGCAAGAAAAGTAACAAAGGTTTTTTATTAACTATTTAGTTTTAACAGTAGTGATATAGAGCATGGAGTGCTGTTTCTGGAGTTCTCCCAGCTTTGAGATTCTCTCAAGACAGTAAATGTTGCCTTATCATATTGGTCCTGCCTGCTGTTGTTTTCAGACTGGCTGAAACTGCAGTTTGATGCCTTACCTGGAGGACTGCCTTTTGTTGTCCCTCTATGACTGAGGGAGAATGGATTTTTGAAAGCTGGGCTACTGGTGTGTACCTTTGGCTCCTAAGCTGTCATGTTGTCATGGTGTGTTATTTGGCCTAGGAAAGGAACACATTGGTATGGGACCTGTTTGGCTTTGTTGTGGCTTGTAATTTGCCTTTTGCTTATAAAAGCTGTATCCAGGAGAGAAAGATATGGCAAGGACAGGCTGGTAACCTTGGTTGTGCACCTCTGGTTTGATGTGGATGGATGGGGGGGAAAGGTCAAGGAAAATACTTATTTGCAAAATAAAATCTCAGTGGATAGTGCATTTAGGTACTGTGTGAATAGAAGGAAATTTTACTGCATTCTGCATTCTCAGAGCTCATTTCCCTCCCTCCCCCTTTTTTTCTTTCCCCCTCTTTGGTTTCATTTAATCTCCCTGGTGGAAATATGTTCTAGGTTTGCAGACCTATAAGTGATTTTCGTCAGTCATTTTGTGTAGTTGCTTTTGTAGAAGCTGACTTCTATATCTGCCTGATTTCTTATGTGTTGCTTGTTGCCTTTTTGTTGTTGTTATTAGCAGTCCATTTTGGGTACTATGGCTTAACTTGGAATTCTTGGGGAAAATATGCAAGCTATTAGCATTGTGAACCTTTGAAGCAAGAGAAAAAATTGAAATGCTCTTCTGGCGACTTCCTGTAAATGGACCATAAGACTCTGTTGTTTGATACAAACAATAAGCAGAAAGCCATCTTGCAGCACACTTCTGCATGGGTTTATTAACTTACTGTGTTTGGAACCATGGCAGGTTCCAGATGGTGGCCAGAGGAGGCAGCAGTAGATGGTCTGTTTAGAGGAGCTGTTATAGTCATGGAAAGTGTGTGAGAAGTGTTCACTAACTCTGCCTGACTGGATAATGGAAGAGGGAACCTAGAGAGGCTGCAATAGAGGACAGAGTTTGTAAAATTTGGTTATTGTTTGCTGTTTGGTGTGCATGAAGGTCAGGGAAACAGAGCAAACAAATGCTTCTGACTGTAACTGTGTGCGTTTGTACTTGTTGTTACAAGCAAACATGTTGTTGCCTTTCTGACCTCCCCTGGTGTGCTAGAGCATGAGGAAGGAGCTCAAGACTGGTTTGGACTGCAGGTTGCCACACAGGCTTTCCAGTATTGTCTTCCCTCCACACCCCAGCTTGCTATTGTGTTACATCTTTCTTTGCTGTAAGAAGAAACTTGTGGTTGGCTAGTCTGTCTCTGAACAATACAGAGTGGTCATTGGTGTTCAAATAACAACCAATGGTTCCTGAGCCTGCAGAGCAATCTCTGACCCTAAAAGAGTCTCACTCTGACTGCATCCTGGTTTTGATGATTTAGTTGTCCATCAGGCTTGCTCGAACCCTTGTCTTGTCCTGTAGTGCTATCAGGAATGACTAGGTATTCATGAGAGATGAAGGTAGCTGAATAACCCCTGAAGCTCCTGAGTTGGATGAAGAAGAATTTGGCTTTGTGACAGCACTGAAACTGGGAGGTGACAACCAGTTGTGGTGACTGAAAAGATGTAGAGGTCACTTCGAACAACGAAAGCGAGATGAAGTGTAATCTCCAGAGTGAAACAGAAATGAAAGCAAGGTTTCCTAGATTAGGGCAGATTTTTTTTTTAATTACTTTTTTGTTCAAGAGGTCGCCTTACAGCTTTCTCCTCAGCCCCATCTTCCTGGACCCAGGTTCTCTCCACAATTCAATTTATGAGTCAGAGGCTGAGAACAGTGATCTGTAACCCATGTATCTACAGCTATTAAACATTTTATTAACAACTGAAGTCCTGCTGGTTTTATCTGATCTTAACATCTTTCATCTCAGCATGACCTCTCAAGGTCTTGATATAACTGCGGTGTATACTATGGCTTTCTCTGTGGTTCTTCCTTGCTATACAGCATGCTGATGCAAGGTATAATGCAGTGTTGGAGCACTGAAAAAAGTGGCAGAGCTTGAGGAAGGAGGCAACACTGCACCCCTGCTTTGGAGGGCTCTGCTTCTCCCTGATTGTTGTGTTTTCACTGTTATGCTGGCAGTGGGGGATTTCTTGAACAAATAGCAAATAATAATACATAGGATTCCTTAACATTGAGGTTTGAGCAGATTCAGGCAGTAGAAGCTTGCTCTTAACTGATTTACATGGGTATAGTTAACCAGGAATGTTATTAGGCAGCAGTATTGTAACTCTGAACAGATAAAACTTAAATGTGGAAACCTATGAAGACTTGAGTGCAAGCTCAGGCTGATAGAAAGTCAGATGCTTTCTGTGCAGCTTCTCACCTATCCTATGGGCTGTAACAAACTGAGTTAACTGCGCAGGGCACGGGTCACAATCAGAGGCTCAGCAATAGGTAGCTGTACTTTTACCACAGAAAACAAAACTTTTTCCTGGCCTTTGACAGATACTTTTGTATGCACAGCTGATGCTTAACAAAGATGATGAAGCAGGGGTTAATATGGAAGATACAAAGCTGGGTGTGAGAGTAATCAAAACCTAGGAACTGCTAAATGTAGTAGTAGATCAGGTAGCATCTTCTAACTACTCAGTTGAATTTCACGTAAAGTATTTGAACATCAGGGTTCTCTGAAGATGGTGCCTAATCAGGCAGAAGAAGTAATCAAATTTGATTGAATTATTACTGCCTGCAGGGATGGACTTGATTCATGTCACAGGAAGGTGTGGGTGGGTGAGAAGCCTGAAGTTTCTGTGCTCATTTGGGGTCAAATCTAAGGATGTTTCTTTTTCCCAGTTAGAGAAGATTGAAGTGCAAGATCTCAGTTATGCAAAGGAGTTAGGAATATAACTTTTTAGTAGGCCATGTGCTTGGAAGGATGGTGATGTGCAAGAATGATGACAGTAATATACATGTATGAAGAGGTTAAATACATGTATTTATTTAGAAAGAAACTGTTTTATTCCTCAAGGTCTTGTGTCTGGAGAATTTCTGGGAAAGGTTGTGAATTGAAAAATACTGTAAAGCCTTAAAATAATACACAGGCAATCCTTATTGGTTCTGTTCTGTGGCTTTGCCCAGGTAGTTGGGACAATGCAAAAAATTATGGTAAGAACTCTCACTGTAGGGTAAATTCTAGCTCTTCTCCTGGGACTTTGGGATTTAGAATTGTTGCCTGTGTGTGTGACTTGGAAAGTGCAGTCTAGGTTAATTGAGGATACAATGTTAAGAGAAAATTAAAAGTTGACATTTGGGTTTCTTTTCCTCTTGTTTTTTTTTCTGACTTCTGTGATTCTGATTTTATTCTGACATGTGTGGTAGCAATTCTGTCTCTGAGGAAGTGTACTGTTGGCTTCTTGCATAAAAGTAAGGTGCAGTGTACTCCTGTTAAATTTGGAAAGGCTGTTGTGTGCCTTCATGAAATCTAAAATCTCCTCTTAAAAAAACTAGTTTTGGAAACACATCTGTTGCTTTTTCTGTTTATTAGTAGCAAACTGAACCTAATCTTTACAAATGCAGTTGGACATTTGTTTATAATTATTTTCCTAGGAAAATGTTTTCAGTGCTTCTTTTCTCCTGGTGGATGTGTCAGACTCTGAAGTCTTTATTGTTTTTAAAAGGAGTGTCTTACTAACTTGCATTGATACATGATTTTCACTTTATTTAAAGAAAAAAAACAAAGCAACCACACAACATCACCACACACACCCCCAAACCCAGAAAACCTTGTAGAATGTTTTAATTTGATAGGTCTGCTACAGGCTCATTTTTCCCCCTTGTATGATTGATTTGTTGCTGTCAGATATTGGACTACTTCTCAGTTGGTTTTACCCCAGTGATATTGGGGCAGGGAGTGGGGTGAGAAAAAAGTGATGTTCTGGTCTCATGACCCCTTTCTTGGTTCTTTTCTTGCAGTGGACTGTGGGAGGTTCTAAAAACAAAAAAAAGGGAAAAGCGGGTAAGGCAGAGAAGAAAGGAGCCATGAAGAAACAGATGAACAAAGCTGCCTCCTCAGGCAGCTCCGATAAAGACAGCTCGGCTGAGAGCTCAGCACCTGAAGAGGGTAAGATAACACATGTTCATCTGTTTAAAGTGTAACTCCAAGTGAAGCTACCCCTTTATGCACACTGAAGAGTAACAATAAACAATTATGTTAAAGACTAACTTTAAAGAGTTTCCTTTGTGTTACTGGTAATCTCTTAAACTTGCCATGGCTTTAAGTGTATATAACTCAGTGTAGCATTGCTGTAAGCACCCCAGTGCAACTGCAACTCTAAATACTGTTTCAACTGAAGAATGTATGACATATTTCATGACTTGACTTTCTCATGGAAAATTCTTTTCTTCCTCCTAGCATGTCCCACTTGTAGTTTGGGTAGCGTTTTCTTTTATTCCCATTGATGTATTTTCCCTTCCAAAACTTCTTGTGATTACGCAGGGAAAGGTGTATAGTCTTGTGTGTTGCAAATAGGAGCTTATCTTGCAGGCATTTGCTCTGAATTGGAATTCTTGCACGTTTATACTCACATGGAAGAAGAAAAATCAATACTGTTAACTTTCTCAGAATTTTTTTACATTAATATTGAGCCTGTTCCAATGCTGGGCAAACTTCCTGTGTTCTTTCATGTTTTCATCATGCCTATCAAGGTTTGCAGGTAGTTAGTTGCAGTTTCAGTTGATAATAAAAAAACAAAGTTAAATAAAATGAAGGAGCCTACAGTTGCAAGTATATTAAGCAGAATGGAGACAGTTGAAGCACAAAGTGGCTGAAACTGTAGATACCAGTGCATACAAATCAATGTTTTTCACATTGTAAGCTTGCAAAGCTGGAAGTTCCCAGAAATACTGAGACGGGAATGAAAGTGGAAGAAAGAATCAGTGTCTGCTTTTGTGATGTGGTGTGTGTAGTCATGTAAGTGAGAGAAGCAAAGTACTTGGAGTTGGATCAAGTCTAAAGGTGGTGTTACTCAGTATTATTGGGGAGTCAGCTGTTCCTTAAGCTCATGTTTAACTGGGAGGGCTTTTCACAGCAAAGGAGTTAGCATCGTGGGATTGCTAGCCTTTAGGATAGTGTGCATCAACTTTATCTTTTTGATGTAGGCAAGGTAGTGTTGCAGTCTTCAAATTACGAATTTTGGTTCTTTGGGTTGCTATGATGACAAGTATTAGTGGTAGTTAATAGTGGTATTTGAGGTGCACACACACACACTTAGAAAGTTATGGATGTACAGACAACTTCAGGGACATAAGCGTATAGAATTCTAACCCTAAGGCCCTAACACACTAAACAAAAGATCTCCTAAAATTTGCTAGTTTTGCTGAGAATTGTTGCTTACAACCCAGTTTGTGTTTACATGCACTGCCACTCATCATTGTTTAGCTTGCCTATCTTATGGTAATAGAGTATTTCCTCCTGGGTTTAGTTTTGTTAGATGTGCGCTTTTAGTGTAGTGGAAGAGGAGTATAAAATTCATTCTTGGTCTCCTTTGCTAGCGTAATACAATTAAGTGGTTGGGCTTTGCCCCAGTTGCATCTCACTGACTTTATTATTTTGATAGGAGAAGTCTCTGACTCGGAAAGCAACAGCTCGTCATCTAGCTCAGATTCAGATTCTTCATCTGAAGATGAGGAATTCCATGATGGCTATGGAGAAGACCTGATGGGAGATGAGGAAGACCGAGCTCGACTAGAACAAATGACGGAAAAGGAGAGAGAACAGGAGCTGTTTAATCGGATAGAGAAGAGAGAAGTGCTAAAGAGAAGGTGAATTTTTAATCTGTTGATACTTGGTAGCAAATTCATACAGGCTGTATGGAGATACACCCTGACTGCCCTCTCGTGTTTGGGTTCCAAGCATTCGGCACAATAAAAGTGAATTAAGTTTCATGATAGATTGTTGTCTTTTTTTGGTGTAAGCTATCCTTGTAGCTAGTTGAGAAGCACACATTCCACTATGTTCTTCAAAAACATTTGTGTCCTCACCGATATTATAAAGAACCAAAACACAGCATTTTTCCTTGTGAAACAGGTAGTCTTCTGTATTCTCTGGTAAGAGCTTTTCACAAGCGAACTCTATGATACAGAGTTCAGTATTTTTTAAAAGCTGTCTTAGATGAAGAGGCTGCCCATCACGTAAGAAACAAAAGCAAATACCCAAATAAATTATATTTCACCTGCTGAAATAATTATGGTAGTGCTGCTCTTTAAGGAATTCTGCATATTCTTGTAGAAGTCAGTTTTTGAAAGTTTTTCAGTTATTGAATATGCATCATTCTGTCAGGTACCATTGTGGCTGTAATGCTGCTTCACACACTAAGATGCCAGACAGTCAGAGGACTCCTTTCTCTTCTGTCTTCTTATTTTTCTTTTAATTGTATTAGTTGTCACATGCTGATACTTTGGAAAAAGGCAAAGTGTAAGGTGTATATGAGCTTCTGGTATTTTTAAGAAAGCAATCGTGAAGCACTGAGCAGTGTTAGGGTTGCCTCTGTATGAGAGTGAAGCTGGTTGGGGCCCTAATAGAGGAGAGATACTGCAGTAATGAGGAGTGGTGTTGGATATGTCGTTTCAAGGCATCATTTGCTGATTTCTACCTTAGGTGTTGTATTTTTGTTTGTTTGTTACTGTAACACTGTCCAGTCAGGCAGCTTCCTAGTAAAGGTATTTTTTCTTCTCTGTCTAAAATAAAAGGTTTGATGTGTGGGACAAGTTTTCTTCCCTCCTCAGTGACTTCTCTTTTCTCATTTGTTGAGACTTTTCTCCACAGGACTAACATCTGTTGAGTGAATCATGTCAATACAAGCTACTGTTAGACTGTCGATTCCTCCAAGCCTTTTGTCTGTGGTTTGAATACTACTTTCGATGTTTTCTCTAGTTTGCTGGTCTCCTCAAAGGGATCAAAATGAGTGAAAGATCTGGTTTAGATCAGGTAGAAGGACACCATATTTTTAAATTTCATTTGCTGTCAATGGTAATTGAATGTCTTTCTTTTAGAATGAACACTGGAGAATACTTGATAAGAGCAGGCTAAACAATCTAAGCTGGAGTTACTGATTTAGCTGTAAATGAGTTTGTCCTCATGTCCTTGTTTGTTCTATGTCAAGAACATTTTGTTTCAATATCTGCTACTAGGTTTGAAATCAAGAAGAAACTAAAAACGGCAAAAAAGAAAGAAAAGAAGGAGAAAAAGAAAAAGCAAGAGGAAGAGCAGGAGAAGAAAAAACTCACGCAGATCCAGGAGTCCCAGGTAGGAAATGAAACTGTCCTCAGTAACAAACCTGTTTTCCTTGGAAATAGGAGACAGGATGCTGCCTTTCTCTACCCCTGATGTTTTTCCTTAATGTCAAGTAGTGTGGTAAACAGATCAGATTTTAGTTAATTTATATACTCAAGTTATCTTCAGCCTTTCCAGTTAATTTAAATAAATTAACATCATTGGCCTGCTGAGGCTGCACTGATAACTCCTAAAGAAAAATGCAAAGTTGCAGCTCTATCTAGAGTTGCTGAGATAGTCCTCCCAATCAGAGTAGGAAAGCAACCTTTTACAGTTCCTTTCACCAAACTTCTGTCATTCAGTCTGAAACATTACATGTTCAGCTTCCTTGCAAGTGGGAGTTTGATAGAGCAGGCCAGAAACTGCTCAGGTGTTCTCTTAATTATTCTGCATGCATATACAATGGAATGAGTGCTTAGTTTCTGCTGGTAGGAGTGTGAAGGAAAAGCTTGAATGCTAGTAGGAACAGAAGTAGTTCTGTAGTTTTTCTGTCTCCAGTAGAAAGAAGATAATACCAATCTTTGAGGTGAGGTCTGGAACCAAACTGTAGTTTCAAATAGCTGAATTGGCTATAGTTTCAAATGGTAAAGACCTTACCCTTAACTGTTTGTTGATTCTGGGAAGATAGGTCCCCAGAATGGGGATGGAATTAATCTTGCCAGCTTCAGCCATCTAAGAACTAGTTGATTGCACTTTTTGTCACTTCTGTCTTTGTGCAACGGATAAGAGCAACTCCACCTGGCAATTCACTCCATGAGATTTTCTAGTTTAGTAGATGTTAAACACTTAAAATAGGTGAGATGAGTTTTGCCTTAGGCACATGTTAAGTGGAGTGAATCTCATCTCCCGACCTCTCGCAGCTTCATAGGTACTTATATAGTCCATATATAACACATCACGTGTAGACTCATACATAGACCTGTATATAAAAGGATCTTACATAGAGTTCTTTTACAGTGTCTTCCAGGAATTATTTTGACATACTTCAAATTACTCTCTTATGCTTATTATAGAAGCTGCTTTCCCTGCTACTTGGTATTCCAGATAGACCTGTTAGAAATGAAAAACACGAGTAGATTTACATTTAAGATTTGAATCCATATTGCAGACTTTACACACAACTTTATTTCTGCTTTGCCTTTTTCAACAAAACTTTTCTCTTTGTTACTGAATGAGAAAAATTGCCTTGTTTTGGCCTTGCAGAAGGAGAAGCAAATGAAAAGAATATTTATCCAATTTTTCCTCATTTCTTATTAGTTGAAGAATTGCTTCCATTTTACTTCTGTAGTCCTTTTTTAACATTAAGGAGAAGTTTTGAGACTAAAATTTGATTACAGAAATGGAAGAAAGTGTAAATATATTCATTATTTTTTATACAAAGTAGAAAAAGGACACATACTTCAGCTTGATTTCCCTCTCCCTAGCCTCTGTAAAATGAACTTGAAAAAAGCTGATTTCAAAATGGAGTCTGTTAGTTTTGATTTGAAAAGTTTTCAAAGCGTGCAAACAGTCTGTTGTTTAACACATTTCAGTTTATGGATTGCGCTTGGTTTTGAGGGACTTTGTGCATGTTTTTAGGTCATGTCACATAACAAAGAGCGACGATCAAAGCGGGATGAGAAGCTAGACAAGAAATCTCAGGCAATGGAGGAGCTAAAAGCAGAAAGAGAGAAAAGGAAGAACAGAACAGGTATGAAAGTGTTGCTGTTGCTATGATTTTTGAGGCATTATTACAGCTTTTTGAAAGTGGTGCTTCCTGTTTTTAATTAATACGACAATCCTACACCTTGGACGAAATGAGTTCTGTGTCAGTGTTTTCCTTGGTCTTTTACCCAACGTGACCATATTTAGCCCCACTGATTGCTCTCTCCTTCCTGGAATGCTCTGGAAACAGAGGAAACTTTCATTGCAGTCCATTGCATGGCACTTAGTAATGTTTATTTAGTTAATGTATTTCAACTTGTCACTTAGATTCTGTTGTTCAATCTCTGAAACCATCCAGACTGTATTTAGTGTACATGCGGTTTTTTCCCTTGCAAAAAAGCAGTGAGTTATCTCATCATAATAGTTTTATCTTGTATATCCAGTTGCTATGCCCATCTGTTATTGCTACTTGCGGTCGAGTTGGGAGACTGAAGATAAGTACAACTAAGATTTAAGATGCTTTTAAATACTTTGCTTTCTCTCTTTGAATGTATACAATGGAATACTTACTAGTGGATTTGAGCATGTGTTGCTTGTATCCAGTGAAAAATTAACAGCTGCCTCGTTGTTATTTTTAAACAATAAGGTTTCACCTCTTAAAGGAAGCTTTCATAAAAAATTTGCAGCTTAATTTTCTTTGTTCTCTCTCCTCCTTCCACTAGCTGAATTGCTTGCAAAAAAACAGCCATTAAAAACTAGTGAAGTATACTCTGATGATGAGGAGGAGGAGGAGGATGATAAGTCTAGTGAGAAAAGTGATCGCTCATCCAGATCCTCATCCTCTGATGAAGAGGAAGAGTAAGTAGTAAACGCTGGACTATTATTACTTGTAAGCGCGTTCAGAAACAGACATCCAGTTCATGTAGACACATGCTGGTTTAGGGGATTGTTTAGGGGCAGTTTGGTATTTCTGAAGCGGCTTTGCCTCTGGGCACACCTGCATTTCTCAGATTTGAGTCCTTGGCTTCTGTATCGTGGTACATGGGACTGATTTACCTTGGATGGGTTTGCAACTGCAGTTCCCTGCTGTTACTTTTAGCTCCGTTTACGCTGTTGTTCACAGATATGTTTAGTCCTACAGTACAGCAGCCACAGAACCCCAGCATATTAGCGGGGCAGAGATAGTGCTGGCTTATCCTCAAGCACTGGCTGATCAGCCTTGGGGTGTGAGTCTTTCTGCCTTGTGGTAGCAGAGGCAGTGGGCAGCAAGTCTGGAACTCTGCGTTAAGCCTTTTGCATGAATGCTAAATTGACATATCTATAGTCAGCTGTTGCATGATGAATCATTCCTTTTACTAGTGAGTTAAATAGTTGGCATTCATGCTGCACCTTGCTCAGGACCTGAGTTTTGGTTGTTATGTCTCTACTTTTTTTCTTCATTTTTTTTCTCACTTTTCCCAAATCAGGAAGGAAGAAATTCCTCCCAAGTCCCAGCCAGTGTCCTTGCCTGAAGAACTGAACCGAGTACGGTTATCACGGCACAAGTTGGAACGCTGGTGTCATATGCCCTTCTTTGCCAAAACAGTCACTGGCTGCTTTGTCCGTATTGGCATTGGAAATCACAACAGCAAACCTGTGTATCGGGTGAGTTTAGTTGCAAGAGATTTAGTTATTTTTATAGTGCTGCAATGTAATATTTGCAGCTTAGCAATCCTCAGATACCCATGATTGTTTGAGTGGTTAACATAAAAGGGTTGCTTATAACCAGAAAATGTAATGGCTGCCAAAGAAGTGGAGGAGACTGGTTTAAAAATAAAGAAATCTATGGGACCAGCTAGGTGAAGAGATATATTTAGTGAGAGAGAGGGAGCACTAACAAAGCCTGTTCTTCCAGCTGTGGTTCGTGCTGTCTTGTCTCATAATTTGTATTGCAAACTAGAATTCAGAACTCTGCTTTGACCAAGTAAGGATGAGTAACCTTCACTCCCTATTTCTGGGAATGCTCCCAAGTTATTGTGTGCTCTCATTTTCTTTTTTTACAAAGCATGTCTAATATCAGTGTGCCTCAGAAGAGAAGGTGGTTAAGAACACAGCATCATTTTTCTCTTTCATTACTGTAACTGAACAATCACAGGATGCAATAATATTCTCTAAAATTGCCTTTAAAAGGTCCCTAGAGGGCCTGTGTTTAGTGTGTAAGCACTCTTAATATTTCATTTGGGGCATACATTAACTCAAACCAGTGTTAATTGAAAAAGAAATAGAAAAAGTAGAGAATTGTACATTGGTCAGGAAGGCTGAACTGAGAAGATAGAAAACCTGCATCAAGCATTTAGATGGTATAATTTGTCAGCTTAAAGGTGATGCATGAAGTAACTGATTCAGTAGCCAATAATGTATACTGAAGAGTCTCGCTTTCCTTGATCTAGTTAGAATTGCTAGTTAGATTAAGGTTTTTGATCTCTAGTGAAAAGGCTTGAATGTGCTAGATATATTCCAGGAACACAAGAAAACCCAACCTCTCTTTCATCCTTCCTCTTGTGTATTTTATTCTGTGATACAGGTTGCTGAAATTACTGGAGTGGTAGAGACTGCTAAAGTTTACCAGCTTGGTGGTACCCGGACAAACAAAGGGCTACAGTTGCGGTAAGATACCCAAATAATCCTCTCCTTTTCATAGCAAATAAGGTTCTGTGTGTGGTTTGGAGATAAGAGGTAAAAAGCAGACTGGGCCTTGCCATGCCAATTACTGCCAGAATGTTGGGGTTAGGTTTATTTGATTCTTTTAACCCTTGGGCATAATGGAAATTATAAAAAAAAAAAAAACACATGCAGGAACTTGTGTTGAAATCTAAGCCATTAATTTGCATTAGTAACCCAAGATTGTTTGTATATGCCTCTTGAGCTTTGCAATACTCTTTTATATCTTTTCTCCTCTGTTATCATCAGATGTTAGAAATAGGTATCATTTAAAGTTATACGTGATTGGGTCTGGCATGCGTGTTACAGCATAAATGGTACTTTGGAGGGAAGAAGCTGAACGTAGCGTCAGATTTCTAAGTTCTTAGGCCCTTCTAACATTCATGAAATGAAGGTTAACAGTTACAATACAAAACATCCTGGTGGGCTAGGACAAGAAGATATTAACCATTTATGAGAAACAAAAAGGCGTGTGGAGAATGCATGTAGGTGCAAGTATGGAGTTAAAAGAAATATCTCCCTAAATTCATTGTGACATTCGGTAACTTCTTAGGCTACCTCAGGAAAGAGCTCCATGCTTTGAGTGAAATTTACTCCATGGCAACTAATTTTAATACTGCTTAGTAGCAGTATAGTAGCTTATATATACACTATCGTAGCTTATAGTTTAGCTGGCAGTGCCAAAGATAGTGCTCCACAGGAAATGTTTAGGATTCTGGCCTTGGCCAACCAATAAAAAAAATTAGGTAGGGATTGGTTGGCTCTAGCATTTTATTATGATTCAGTACTGCTTGAAGGTTACTTCTACTGATAAAAACATGAGTGAGCTTTGTGTTTTCAAAGATCATGCCATGGGTCACTAAAGAGGGTATGTAAGATTTAGGTTTGAGAGAGGTCTGTTTCTGGTACTTCCTGAGAGTTTTACTGCCACAACTGAGGGACTGCTGCTTGCAGACTCAGTGGCTTGTATTCCTTTGCAGTATTACTAATAGCTGATGTAGGCTGCTGAACTGTGGCTGACCTGACTGTAGTTATAGCATGCAAGCCACTAGTGTAGTCTTAAGTGTCTAGTTTGGGGCTTTTTGAATCAGTTTACACCTATAGAACCGTATTTTTTTGGAAAAGACCTTTAAGATCATACAGTTCAACCATTAACCCAGCACTGCAAAATCCACCACTAAACCATGTCCCTAAGCATCACATCTGCATGTCTTTTAAGTACCTCCAGGGATGGTGATTCAACCACTTACCTGGGCAGTCTGTTCAAGTGCTTAGCAATTCTTTCAGTGAAGAACTTTTTCCTAATATGCAATCTAAACATCTGCTGGCACAACACTCCTCTTGTCCTATTCAGTGGTTACTTGATAGAAGGAGCTGACACCCACCTTGCTACAACCTCCTTTCAGGTAGTTTCCCCTCAGCATCCTCTTCTTCAGAATAAACAACCCTGGTTCCCTCAGCAGCTTCATGTAAGATTTGTTCTCCAGATCCTTCACCAGCTTCATTGCTCTTCTCTGGACTCATTCAGCACCTCGATGTCTTGTAGTGAGGGGCCCAAAACTGAACCCGGTACTCGAGCTGTGGCCTCACCAGCACCAAGTACAGGGGGACAATCACTTCCCTAGTACTGCTGGCCACACTATTCCTCAAACAATACAGGATGCTGTTGGCTTCCTTGGCCACCTGGAAATGGTGCTGGCTTATACTCAGCCAGGTATCAACCATTACCCCCAGATCCTTTTCCTCTGGGCAGCTTTCCAGCTAGTCTTTCCCAAGCCTGTAGCATTTCCTAGGGTTGTTGTGTCCAAGTAAAGGACCCAGTACTTGGCTTTGTTGATTCTCATAGAATTGGCCTTGGCCCATTGATCCAGCCTGTCCACGTCCCTCTGCAGAGCCTTCCTACCCTCAGGCAGATCAACAAGATCTATTAGATCTACAGATCACAGCTCTGTACTATCAGAGGGGGATGTTGTTACACTTTCTTGTTGCAGGCACGGCAATGATTCGCGTGTGTTTCGTTTGGAGTTTGTCTCAAATCAGGAATTTACTGAAAGTGAGTTTATGAAGTGGAAGGAAGCGGTAAGTTTGTCAGACTTCAGTTTCGTCTTAGCAGCCTTCTGCCAAGGATAGTTTAAGTGGAAAGTAACCTCTTTGTCCCTTGTGTTTAGATGTTCTCTGCTGGGATGCAGCTACCCACACTAGATGAGATAAACAAGAAGGAAGTGTCCATCAAAGAAGCCCTCAACTACAAGTTTAATGACCAGGACATTGAGGAGGTAAACAGTGTGTTGTAGAGAGGCTGTGGCAGTGCTAAAAGGTGGTGGGAATTCTTGGAGTAGAGCACTAGCCATTTATAAAGCAAAATAATGGTATTTGCTTCCTCAAAGGAAAATTAAAAGTCAAAATTAAGTTGTGTAACTGGATAGAGTAGCTTGGTGCTCACTCCTGCTTTACTTCATCCTTTTTGTCCTGTTACCTCCTTTTGAACTTGTGTTGCAGAGTTCTGAACTTCTAGCCTCAGTATGGCAACTTAGTTCTCAAGTTTTGAAAAGCTAACAACATCATGGTAGATGCATTTATCACAGTTTCTGCACTTCAGTACTTGCTTATTACTGACCAAATGTGATTAGCATCAGATTTTTGTAGGTTATTAAGTGAGGGGAGTGGAGCTGTAACACATTACCCAGTCACAAATTTAAAAATGCAGCAGAGAAAGCATGAGTAAAATTCTATGGCAGTAAGTACATTTCTTAGGTGATACTGATTTCTTGCTTCTAGTGTCTCAAGTATTGAAATAGACATTTCATAATTGCATATTCTTTCTGTTTTCTTTGCATCTTACAGATTGTGAAAGAGAAGGAAAGATTCAGAAAAGCACCTCCAAATTATGCTATGAAGAAAACTCAGCTGTTAAAGGAGAAGGTGAGAGATGAGATGATGCCTGCAAGCTTAATGCAGTCTTTGATTTTGAAGAACTGGAGCTCATCTGGATTTTGGCAGTAGTCAGCAGTAAGCTCGACTTTAACTATGCAGCTAAAAGGTGGATCTCAAGGTTCACTACTGAGTTCAGAACACTTAGAACCCAGTTAAAGTTATTGCGTTTTTTTTTTAAGGGCAGCTGCCAACAATTACAGCTTTCTCTTTCTGTGTCCATTAAACAAGGTCTTAAACTGTCCTGCTTTAGAAACTTTTTATTGTTTTTCAGGATATCCCATAATAGCATTTGAAAGTTGATTTCCTGTACTTTTCAAACCAGGAAAAATAAAAGTAGTGTTAAATTGTCTTTTGCTTAGGGATGATTGAATTGTCACTTTTATGGCCAGTAATTTATGTTGAAAAGAATACATTGCTGAAAGGTTTAATTGCCACCAAACCATTTTACATATAGACCTTGGGAACGAATAGACCTAGCAGTGCTGAAAAGCCAAAGCCAAGAAAGCAAGTAAACAAACAATCTTAAGTATCTCTGAAGATAAAGATAGACACAACATGTCTGTTTATGTTACTTGTGCAGTTCTTTTTCAAGACATTCGTGCTTAATATACATCGAAGACCAAGAGTTTGTATTAGTCTTTAGTTCTACATTCTTTGGCTTGTCTGTATTAATTGGTCACCATTTTACTGTCGAAGAATATGTATATTGTTAGTTTTCCACTGTACAAGAGTGTAATTGCTTTTTATTGTCACCAGGTGGCATAATAAGCTACCGTTGGTCTGGTGGTGTGGCAGGAGACTCCAATTCCCTGAAATAAGTGCCCACTGTTACAGAAATAATAATCATTCTTTTCTGAGCTGCTAAATAGCGATATTAAATTTTAATCAAACCTGTAACTTAAATCATCTAATTGACTTACCCTCTTCATGCTGGGACTAGTGTTCCTATGTTTTCCTTAGCTTAATGGGTTTCAAAGGTTTTCAAAGTTCTTCAGAGTAAGAAGTCCTGTTTTGCCTTGAACTTTAAGGACAGTTTAGCTCTTTGTTGTGTTCTTACCATGTGGGGTAGAACATTTGCAACTGGAATAGGGATAGTTGGCTGGTTCGTGGGTCTGCCCCTCACTTCTCTGACTAGCTCTGTGATAGAGAGTAGTGCCTAATGAGCTATTGTTTGGTTGAAGGCTATGGCTGAGGACTTGGGGGACCAAGATAAGGCCAAACAGATTCAAGATCAGCTTAATGAACTGGAAGAGAGAGCAGAGGCCCTGGATCGACAACGAACAAAAAACATTTCTGCAATCAGGTAAGAAGCTCATACTGGGAATTTTCTTTCTTAAGTAGTATTCCATCAAAATATAGAGAGAAGCTAATGCAGTAGTGAATAAATGGCAGGATTTTTTTTTCTTCTTTCCTGCCCAGTGTATTGATAAGCTGTGTATCATGATGGCTCTATTAGTGTTTATCTTCTCTTTGTATTTTTCACTCAGTTAGAACTGTGAAAAATGTAACTCTCTTCCACATCCATCCAGGTAGCAGTTGTGTTGCCATAAGAGTAATCTGTGATCAGGATGAAGCTGCAAGAATAATGTTAGACATTTTATTGTGTAGGGGTTGATAAATGGCAATCACTTTATTTTTCTTTCCCCCCCCTCCTTTTTTTTTCTCTGCAGTTACATCAACCAGAGAAACAGAGAGTGGAATATCGTTGAGTCTGAGAAGGCTCTTGTGGTAAACAGTGCTTAATTAATAGATCTGTACCAGTAGAGATGAAATGATGCAAAGGGGGATAATTGCTGGCTAAAGTTAAATACATTGAATAAATGGTCTGTAAAATCTTTCATATAGGCAAATGACATGATTTTAGAGTAGATTGCCTTATCCTTTTTATCAACTCGATTATCATCAGATTACTGACTGTAATAGTGACTTAGTGAATTTCGTATGGGAAAGAAATGAGAGAGGATAATTCAGAGAATAAAGTAGTAAAAGAAATGTTTGATTCCCTGCATTAACGCTTCTACTAAGGAAAAGTAAAGCTTATTAACAAATGGTTAAGTCTTTATCCTGAGAGTTGTGCACCTGTTTTCTGTGTTAAGTCAATAAGGACAGTTTTGCCCTGTGAACCACACGGGACTATGGGTCTGTCAAAATCTTTGTAATGCTGTTGCTGGTTTTCCTCTGATCATAGTATTACATATAGCTGATGAGTGCTTGCATAGGTAGCATGCTGTGGGAGGGTTTACAAGGGTACAAGTAGCTAACTCTACAAAACCATGTACTTTTTCTTCTTCAGGCTGAAAGTCACAGCATGAAAAACCAACAAATGGACCCCTTTACTAGGAGGCAGTGCAAGCCCACGATAGTGTCTAATGTGAGTGTTATACTGAAGTTTGATCAAGGCAATTTGCAGAGAAACAAAAACCTATGTAATGCAGAGAGTAGGAAGGAAAATGTTCATATTCATTCCCAACTGTGCCATATGCTATTAGCACTCCAGATGCAAGGGTGAGATCCTGGTCTCACTATCCCGAAAGAAGGAAAACACAATGTGGGGTGTTTTTTTTTTAAATGTAAAGTATGAAGGACCTAAGTGATGTAGGTATATACATAGAAAAGCAACTGTGGCTTCGACTTCTGTGGTGAGTTCTTCTATGTAGAATTACTCAGACTTAGTTAGCTCTGGAAAGACAGTTTGCTTTAGGCGTAAGTTTTATTTCAAGTACTTGAAACTTTACTGAAAGGTCTGTGGAAGGAGAGAGGAGAGCAGACATTTTTTGCCTGTGATGGATAAAATAGTTTAAGACAAACCTCCTCTATGATAACTGTGGCAAAACCTGCTAGTGCAGTCCCTAGCTATATAAATGATGGTTAGCAAGGTGATGAGCTCCTGCTTCTAAGCAACCTGGATTTGTTGAGGCCTGTTCTGGAATAATATATGGTTTTGGTATCAGTACTAAAAAAAAAACTGGTCAGGTTAGCTCTTGTGAGTCTTCACAAACTGGCAAGAGAATAAAAAAGGAATTTTATTGCATGGCTTGAATTAAATAGTTATTTCTGAAGTAATTCTTTATTAGAAAAGGATCATAACTGAGTAGCTTTATTATGTAAAGAAAACAGTAACCTAAAGATTTTTTCTCCCTAGTAGAGTGTTTCAACTGGAACTATAAGCTGAAAACAAATACAGAATCACATAATAGTCATGGTTGGAAAGGACCTCTGAAATCACAGAGTCCAAACATAAAAAAAACACCAAAAAACAAAAACCAAAAAATGTAAAAAACCAACAACACCAAAACCCAAAAAAATCACAAACATACAGCCTACAATCTCAGCCACATCTAAAAATAGTGTTAAGACTAGTCATGAGAGCAAATAATCTCAAAAGGAAATGTATTTCTCATTTTCTCAAAGAGATTTCCTGAAGGAAGACTTTTAGTTGTTTACTGTCGGATGCATTACACGTGTATCAGGTTGATTTCAGTTGTCTCTGAGATCTCAGCAATTGGGCTTGCTGGTCTAAAGCCCCTTTTGGTTTCCAAGTCATGGATATATGAGCACTGTTTTGACAAAATGGCAGTATAGTTTTTGCCAGTTTAAGCAGATTTTTTTTTGTTTTTAATTTTTTTATTTTTACCCTCTGCAGTCCAGAGATCCTGCTGTCCAAGCTGCCATCCTTGCCCAGCTAAATGCAAAATACGGATCTGGTGCATTACCAGATGCTCCAAAGGACATGAATAAGGCAAGTTTACATTTCTGTCTCTGTTACATTCCATCCACTGGTGCTGTTTGCTCTAGAAGCTTAGGACTAATAACAGATGTGCATGATTCAGTCCTAGAAATAGGTATTCTGAAGAACATTGTAAAAGAAAATAACAGCTTTTCTTTTCTGGGGAAAGAAAATTTGACTCTGTTTATCTGGACAGATAAGGGTTGGAGAGTTACCTGTAGTTTTTATTTCAGGGTCAAGGGAAGGATAAAGATGTGAACTCTAAATCAGCCAGTGACCTCTCAGAAGATCTTTTCAAAGTACACGACTTTGATGTAAAGATTGATCTTCAGGTTCCTAGCTCAGGTATGTGTTCCAGCTGTTCCATCCAGTTTGGGGATGTAATTGTCCAGCTCATCACAGTAGATTCTTTTTCCAAAATCACTCCTTCAAAATTGTTGGTGGGCTCTTTAAATAGGAGCAAGGACTCTGTGTTTGTTGTGTTGGCAAGTGTCTTGAGCTCAGGAGGAGGGGATGCGTGCTAGTGATATTTATTGAGAGAACAAGACTTCTCCCCACTTATTATTTGTATTTTTGTGCTTGCTGTTCTCATGGCATATGTTCTCGTGGCATAATGATTATTCAAAGATCCCAGAACTGAGCCTGAAGGCTCTGTTTGTATTGTGATTTTTGGTGTTCTACAGAGTAGTTTTCTTAAGAAATTAAAGTATAGTTATCAGCAGAAAGCTGGATTAACAAGCAGAGTCAAAATTGCACGTTGTATCTATGAAGATAAGCTACAAGATACTGGCAATATTACTAACTGAAGTTCTAACCTGATGTAGACTGGAGAAGCCAAATGTGATTCTGTGGTGAAGTTGTCAGCAAAAGCAAGAAGTAAAAATCTGTAGTTTTCACTTATTTCAATCCTCACTCTTTTCTTACCCCCAACAGAATCTAAGGCACTGGCCATCACCTCCAAGGCTCCACCAGCAAAAGATGGTGCCCCTCGGCGATCACTGAACTTGGAGGACTACAAAAAGAGGCGGGGGCTTATTTGAGCATGCCCACTCTGCTGCTTCTGATCCTGCATGCTCCATGACGATGTCCTACCTTTTCTTCCTCCCTTTTCAGTTCTCCCTTCTGGGTTGGAGCAGCAATGGAGCTGGGAAAAGACTCTTTAAAACTGCCAGTCATCTGTAACATAAACCATTCAACTATTTACTGTATAGACCTCCCTTCTTGCCCTTTCTTCCTGCCCCCCTCACAAATGTGGATCTGTGCTATTTGGGGTTTTCCCGTTTCTTTTAGTTTGAGTTTTGTTTTTATTTTGTTGATGCAGCTCGTTGGTCCACTCAGTGTTCAGTATTAGCCTGAGGTCTGGATTTCCATAGGAATCTCTTGGTGATCGCAGAATCAGCACTTGGTGATCTCCCCTTACATACCACCACAGGCATGGTGAATAAACATTGGCGCAAGACCTTTGTGGCTGGAAGGTCATCTGCACTTTCTTCCTCCTCTTCTTCCTCCTTCATCCTAGCATTGGAGAAGGGAATCTTCAAAAACTGGCTTAGGTTCAAAGTGTAAATTTTTTTGGGAGGGTTGTGTGACTTTTTTTCAGGTGTTTTTTATCATTTTTAAGCTGCAGTACTATTTGTATCCGTCTGTCACAGTTCTTTACGGCTGTTTTGAATTTCTACCAGCTGTACTTGAGCATCTGAAACTACAAGAAAGAAACTCATTAAATGTGATTCTTCTTACTAAAACGGCTTGGCTGGTATAGCTGTTTAACTTTGTTCCCTTTTTTACTTACACTTAACTGATGAGAGAGGGGTACACAGCTCTTGATGTGGGACTTGTCATCTCTAGTGCATCCGGAGTCTCCAGCTGTAACTTGACTGGAGTAGGTTTTTCGGGGATGGCCTTAGTGTGCTTATTGGTTGGGCTTTCATTTCTTCCTTAAGCCTCCAATATTACATATTTGTTAAGTCATTGTGTCTTAACAGGGTTCCAGCTCACTTTGTTTCTTGCTTTGTGAACCATTTATACGGGGCTTCTATAAACAAACAAAAAGTAATAATAAAAGAAATAATCACTTTGTGTGGAAGGGAAAGGACATAGTAGAAAGGTCAGTGGGTAATGTATGAGAGGCAGCTGATGCACATTTTTCATATATAAACTGGTACAAGTGGAGTGCAACTCTAGCACAAGAATTATATGGCTTTATGGAATATTTGACTGGACACAAGGTGACAGCTAAATTATCACTCAGGTGTAAAAAAAAATAATAATAAAAATAAAAAAATCAAAGTGTAAATATAAATGGCATTTAACAAAGAACTTTTCCAAACAAGATACAACTGAATATATGGAGCTAAGAACTAAATTAAAAGATAATTAGAAGTCTAAAAGGTTAGAGGCCCTCGTTCAGGTAAGCGTGCAATCACGTGTTTGTTCCTACTCAGGCCAGTACGTGTATAATAACTTAAGCACTGAACTGGATAGGAATGTTTCTGGGGGACCCTGAAGAGGGAAAATGCTGATGCTCTTCTTGTGTCAGAGCATTACTGTTTTTCTGAAATCATGCACTGGTTACGTTCAAACCTGTGTTTGATACTTTCTTGTTGGATTCTTAATGCAACTTTAATCTAGTTCTTATTTAACTTTCTCTTCCTTTTTTTACCAGTAGCTTTAAAGAAACATCATGTAATTGTGTGCAGATTGATACTATGAACTGTGTATAAAAAGAAAATCAACCTATGAAGCAGCTTATATCTACCATGTAAACATATAATTAGGAATCCTTCAATACTTATTTACTGAATAGTCCATAGTTCTAGGACATGTGGGTTATTCTGTAAATATGTAATCATAGGTTGCTTTATTTGATGGCCTATTTTAGCAGCTTCTCTGGAGTTGTAGTAGGCTCTCACATATATGTACTTTCGAATTTTTAAGAGTGGTTTTATGGAATCTGCCATGGTAACTTCATAGGAAACATCGTGATTCACTGTGTAGATATGCATTTGATATGATTTTGTTTTATTCAACAGCTTCAATGATGTTACAGATTTTTAATAAAAAAACCATGAATTTGTTTTGCAATAGCCAGTTTTCAAAATAATTACTCTCCAGTGCTTTGCAGAAATAATTTCAAAATCAAGCGATTAAGGAACTGATTTTTCCACAGAAATGCCTCAGAGCTCTGAGGTGCAATGACAAGTGGTCTGTAAAGGTAAAGTTAACTCAAATTCAGTATTTTTTGTATGTTTGCCCTGGATATATTGGTTTTAGGTATCTTCCACATTTGGTAACACAAGAATAGTCTGTAGTACAGCCAAAATGTTGATGAGACCCGTACAGTGTTGCAAGTAACTTTTAGTGGAGATTAACCAAACCAGAGGAGATGCAGTGAGTTTAGAGTGCAGATTTAAATTATGGGCTATGTCCTAGTTATCTGCAGCTAAGAAACTGCCACTTACCCTCAAAGTTTTTGGATTCTGCTGAAATACCATTTGGTTTCTTTTAAGAGAGGCAACAGTCAGTGAATTATCACTCAAACCTCTTATATTGAGAATAATACATCAAGAAAGTACTCTTGAATAGTTACAGAACTGTGTATGAAAGCTGTAATCTTTTTTCCTTTAAGTGCATGTAAAGGTGGGTGACTACACCTCCCACTCTTTAGAGAGGGAGAGATTCGTTTGCTTTGTTTCATTGATGTCCTAGCATAGTTCATCACAATTGTACAGACTTCTATAAATAAACTTGGTTTGTTGGTTTAATAAGGTTGACTGTTTATCCCTTGATCCGAGGTTCTAAGGGTTTCCTGTCTGGGATTTGTTTTTTCAGGAGCTGACACTTTTATCAGTCTGAACAATTTTATTTAAAATACTAATACTTTACTTCACAAAAAGTAAGCCCCCTCTTTTGCAAGAGTGCCTATTGACTCCTGGGTCACTATTTAATGACTGGAGTTGCTCAACTAGAATAAATCAGAGCCTCTTGGAAGCTCAGTTCACTTGCACCTCTGCTGCATCTCACTAAAAACACAGACTTTGCTCATCTTGTAGAAATCCAGTCTACTTTTGTAACCAAAGATGCTAAAGCATGTAGCTGAACTTAGAGAAGCTACTGAATGAGATGAAGCAAGACAGTTCTCAGGGGGTGCTTGGTGGGAGGATGGAACACAACAAACAGAAGTTTAAATAGGACGGGTTCTGCCAAGATGTAAGGAAAAACATTTTCATCCTTGTAATGGTCAGAGAATGGACTCGTTTTCCCAGAGAGATTGTTCTGGCTGGATTTTTGAGATTTCTGAGAGAAGGCCAGATTAAGCCATGAGTAACGTGATCCAACCTTGTAGTTTACCCAGCTTTGAGCAGGAGGGAGGACTAGAGACCTCCCTGAGCTCTGCCCTGAATTATCCTAGGATTCTCTTTAAATAATTTCATACTGCTTTCTCCAATTTTGCCTGTCTTCTCTGTGTGTGCTGCCCCCTCCCCATCCCCCTTCCTGGGGGATGAACACACAGAATTTGTTTCTCAGACATGGTGGCTTACCATGACCACTGTAGCATTTACCAACACGTCCTTTTTGAGACTCTGGGTGTGTACACCCATAGACTTCATTCTAGGACTGTCTGTGAAAGTAAATTGCCTCTAGTGCTGAATAGGCTGGAGGACTCAGCCTCTTACCCTGCAAAGTGAAGAGCTGCAACTGAGATTTCATTAGCAAAGTGTTCCTTTAATGCACTTTGAAAATACAATGAGTTTTCCATCTTCCTATGAACTCAGGTGCATATGCTTTGAAGCTTCTGTGCAATGTCACAGATTATCAAGGGATCTTAAGGACAAAGGGTCTTGAAGATGAGTTGCCTGGCTTAGGGAAGGATAGCCAACCAAATGGAAAAAATGTTGTGCCTCAAAAGCAAAGGAATGAACTAGCTGTGAAGAAAGTGCTTTGCAGCAGATCAATTCCTAGCAGAAGGTGGAAGCGGAAGAAGGTGGGAACTAAATTAGGAATCTGCACAAATGCTTGGCTGGTTGTACATGCTGGGAAATAAAAAGACATATGTATGTCATCTCAAGTTTGGGTTTTAGCATTTTTGTTTTCCCCCCCATCTTTGCTAGAAGATAGTTGGTCTTGTCCAGACCATTTTAAGCTTTGAATTTTGGGGTTTTAATTGTAGGGGTGAAATGCTGAACATTTGAGATTTTAGCTACTGACATGTACAGTCTTACTATTTACTTTCAGCACAGTAACAGCCCTTTAGAGGGGGATGCTTGAGTAGCTAAATAAATGGGACAATTTATTTATTTTTTTTTAGGTGTAATGGTTAAGCACTTACTGGTTCTACCTCACCACTGTCATCAACTGCTTGAGATTTTAGCCTCCCCTTATTTTCAGCAGCTGACAGAATATGAGCAATTTCCAACTGCATAGAAATTATCTGGATTTAAAAAAAAACAAAAAGCTTTATTTTCTGCTTTGTCAGTTGGACTGCAGAGGTAGTAAACACGATGAGAGTTGTGATGATAACATCTTAAACTTTTCCAGCTGTGTGGAAAGCCAGCCATTACATACTCCCTTGGGGTTCTTTATACCTTGACTTCTATCTAGATGCTAAAGGCTTCTGTGGCCTACCTGTGTCAGCCATAGTGAGCAGGTGTTCCTCATGTGCCAGCTTTTGGCCATTTAACTATTTTTCTTTAGTGTTTCTCCCTTCTCTTGAGAAGAAGCACTATCCAGCCAAGAGTGTGAGCACTTCCAGGAGGTAAATTTTAATAGGAGTTTCCCTGGATGAGCTAAGATACTGCAATTAGCTGTGAGACAGGGAAGGTAGGGTGAGTATTGATAATACTTAATGACGGTGTATCTGGCATTTTGTGTTAGGCCACATGTAGAATATGGTTTCCAGTTTTTATGTCCCCCAGTTCTAGGAAGATTTGAAGCACCTGCAGGAAGTACAGTGGAGGGCCACCAAGATGGTCAGAGGCTGGGGTTTGTTTAGCTGGGAGGAAGTGATGATGTAGCTCTGTAGTACCACATTATGGCCTGTTACTGACAGCACTAAGCTCAGGACTGAGTCCCAAGGCCCCAGGACTCAGGGTTATGAAGCTTCCCTTTCTGTACTTCTCTTGACCTGCCTGCAGTTAGTTTTACTTAGCTTTGCATAACAATGATTTCTCAGACTGTCCAGGTGTCTGTTGCTAATTTGTTACTTCTGTTCACCTTTGTGTGGTTCAACCATAGTTTTATATATGTAAGAATAATAAGCAGTTATTTTATGTAGAATGAGATATTTATGACCAAAACTGATGTGGAGGAGAGAAATGCAGACATGGTATGATAGCAGAGACCCTTGGAAGTGGAAATGAAGTATGTAGCATAGAGAAGTGCAGCTGGATGATGGGGCACATGTATGTGACTGGAGACCCTATAGTCATGTATTGGTGAGTGGTTAATCACCACTGGTCAAGTAATGTGTTTGCTGAGGAGGGGTGTCAGTTTTTTGGTTGTGTTTTTTGTTGTTCTGTGGTTGGTTTGGGGTTTTGTTGTTGTTGTTTCTTGTTTGTTTTTTAAAAAGGCTAAGCCAGAACTGGACAAAACTGTTTTTAGACAGTAGAAGAACAAATATATCTGATGTATGAGAAGGGCACCATAACTCTGTGCATCTGAATGCAGCGTGGAGCTGTAGACCAGTGAGTAAAGAGAAGGATGTAAAAGCATGCCAGCAAACATAAAGAGCCCTAAGAGGGCCCTG